CAAGCTTACTAAATGGCGATGTGGCACTGATCAAAACGCTGGCAGCTAGATAGCCGGTAGTCACACTGTGAATTGCAGCTAATCGAAGTATAGGTTAATTCATAGTAGCTTATAGATTAACAGCTGTGCAGAGAAGAAAAAACAATGTAAAAAGGAAACAAAAATTAGTGAAGTGACAAGCAGATAACTTATCATCTGTATCATAAAATCTTATTAGTTGGTAACGTACCTTATTATGGTCTAGTGAGTGATAACACTCGCGACAAGCTAGTGGTGCACAAAGTACAGCAAGAATATCTCTAACGGCTACAACTTTTCAAGTGCTTCTGTCGTGGGAATCGTTGAGCTGGTAACTTTTAAAGGAGATGAAGCAAATGTTAGGATTGCCAGCAAGTTGACCGTTTGGCGATGCAGCTGTGGCGAACGGAAATAGGTGCACAGCTGAAGAACTATGTCATGAAATGCACTTGATGAAATATCTAGCCAGATTGTTTGAAAGTTACATGTTCGAAATGGTAGGTAAATATAAGGCTAAAGTGTAGAATTCACATGCTATATATATACATATATGTATTATATATATACATATATATAATACATATATGTATGTATATATATATATATATATATATATATATATATATTAATGTCATGTGGGTAGAAAAAAGGCAAGACGATGTTGGCATTTTGCATGGGTAAAATTGCAACTAGAAAAAAATGTGATAATATATTTGTTTGGAGATGCACTGTATGTACTATGAGAATGACTCGTCCTCAAGGGCAAAGAGCTCTCCCGAGAACTGAGTTCGTCAAAAAACCTCGTTTAATCGGTGAATTGCAAATGGCGAACTGCATGAGTTCATTTCAATTCAACGGCTCATACAAAACGCTACCCATCATCAGACCCTTCGCTACTGGCAATGCTAATCTTGCGCAGTTTACAGCTTTATCTACGTATCGGCCAGATGCGCAAATTCTCTGCATGCAAATTTCAAGTGAGAGCATTTTTATAGTTACAGGTTTAAATGATCTTTCCTTAGTAGTCTTAATCTCCTGTACTCGGACTGGTGAGGGGAAGAGGCAACCAGAACAACAGTGAAGGGATGACAATATCGGCTAAAAAACTATGTTTAATTCAAAGTGTGCTAAATTCGACTAAAGAAATATTAATTAGCTGAAAGTGCGCTGAAAAGCAATATGGTGTCAAAATTAGATTTTATTAATCTCGAATTGATAGAAAATTACAACCTATCCCCAATCCGGGTGATTAGAATCATGGGCGAAACGACTCTAGCTTTTTTACAGCTTTTATAGCGAGCGAAATGCAGACCAAGATTTGAGCTTGAGAACTAGCAGTATTTTGTAACGCTTTATTGTTCATCAATTCTCAATATTAATTCCCTGTGCAGCACAGACCAAAGGCTATCAAAAGTGAAAAGTTTGACCGTTTGCCAATCTCCAACATCAACCAGTCGCTGTTCAGACTGGAATGGTACTTTCTTTTGAAAATTTTTTAAGGCTATATTGTAAAGACTGAAATTCTATGAGCACCTTTAAAGTTTCAAAATAACTATTAAATATTTAGCCTTTATATTGCTCAGGAATCTTCAGTTTCAAGTGGTTCGCTGAGGCAAGGAGGGAGGAGGTAAGGTGGAGGAGGGGAAGCAAGGTCCTCGGACTTTTTGCGCCAGTCAGTGAATCATCATTTTGGAGGGTGTATTTAGTTTGTGCGTTCAGGCAATTTGGAATGCAGGAGATTTACAACGGAGCAGCAGAACCGGTTTCCCTCTTTACTTCCTCTACGTGTTACTCGAAATGCTTGCTCTTTTCCTGCTGCTCCTCCTGCTTTCCATTTTTTGCTGGCCTAAATAAACACGCAGTTGAAATTAAGCTTTTTTGATCCTCCTACTTATTCTGCATTTCTTCCAACTGCTTAAAATATTTACTGGGGGCTATCCAGAATTCGAAAAACTGAAAAGCTCGGACGAATGTTATGAAATTAATAATTGAGCAGAAATTTTTTTTTGCGAATTTCGGTATCCTTTGTAAAATGCGCTAATCCAAAAATTTGATATATCTTACTGCCAGGAAGAATTAAATTTAATTTTAATAAGGTGCTGAACCGAAATTTCGACGAAAACTAACTGTTAATCTAACAATTCTGTATATTCGACGGATTGAATCACAGAAAAATGACCTGGCTCCTGGAGAAATTTGATTAGTTTGAATCGCGGAATTACTGGATAACCGAATATTCAGTTCCCGATGATTTCAAATTCATTTGTCAGTAGTCCAGGGACACGAATCCTGGTTTAAAACCTAGTTGGCGTGAAAGAGGAAATCATCGACATCATGACTGAAGAAATCTCAGTCCCACCTTTTTCTTGAATTTCCCCTAATCAATCTCTCTTTGTCAAACTACAGTAATGCTTATTGCGTTTGCACTGCTGAATTGCCACATTTGCCTTTCTGTAGGCAGTGGACTTTATGTATATGATGGATCGCAGCTGAGGTGCCTCATTATTTTTAATCTCCAAATATGCACCTTACTTCCGCATCTATGCGCATGAGGTGCTCTCTAGCAGGACTACGTAAACGCGTTTTTGTTTAAACCAGCGGCAACTGTCAAGGGTTATTCTTTGATTCCAACAAGGAGGAATAGAGCCGATTTGAGTTACTGATGCGTCAGACTAAGTAAAACAAAAATCTTGAATAAGAGGCACATTTTGTAAAACTACTTCGTTTTTTTCAACCAATAATAATAAGCAAGATTCTTTCATTTTCTTGTTCAAAAAAGATCACCTGCTATTTCTGCGCCTTCTTGGCTACACTGCTGATTGAGTGTTTCAGTAGCAGAAGAATGGGTGATTGCTTTTTTTCTTCACTCTCTGTCCCTAAAGAGGACGAGCGTACCAGCGATTTAGGATTAGCTGTGAGAGAGTAGTATTCCGTTGATTTGCTTATCACTCTGCTATCTGATAAGATATTCTGAAACGTATCAACAAAGCATTTTCTTTTGCAGCAGTCCGTCGGCTAACCGCAGTAAATCTTCTTTTGCATGGCACTCCAAATGAGTTTTTCAGAAGTTGAAATCTGGATATCAAGGGCTTAGAACTTTTAGTTCAATCAATGATTGGCCTCTTATTTCAGTTCAATCGCTACAATCACTGCGGATAACGTAACTGACGATCTGAACTATAGCTACTGTGAAGAATATCAGTGGAGAGGAATTACTGTACCTCGAACAAGAGCATGCAGTACTGCTCGGATAACATGTCCGGATCCGGAACACACTGTTGGTATGTTTCAGATCAATATTCTCAAAACTCGAACACATTTAGTGGACTTATGATACAATTCTTTTTGTGCTTGCTTTATAAAGTGATTTCCCTCGCAGCAGCTGATATTAGCCAAAACTGCTCGGACAATCTGTATGCGCGTCGAATTTAATGGTGTTACTGGGATTCTCCCTCAGGGCTCTTCAGTATTGGGCTGCACACCTCCATCTAGTACCCAGCTTCCCTTTGATGTATGTGTGCCGCCTCTTCGGGTTTTCCTTAATGGTCGCCTACTTTCTCATGAGTACCATTCACTGATGTACGGAGATCACCGTTTGTCCGCAAGGCGAGCTACATTTTGCACCTATCAGATTTTATTTTCTCTTGTTTTACTTCTTCTTTCAGTTGGTATTATTGGCGGAAATAACTATTAACAAAATACATCTCTCCAAATGTGTAATTTTTCTAGCATTTTTTACAACTAAATTAAAATGTTTAGTAATATAATCATCGTTTCTTCGCAAAATTAATGAGATCGTTCCCTACTCCTAAAGCAAGATTCTTCAAGACTCAGAAAACTGGCATGCGACCCAGAAGGGTAAATTTTTCACCCGTTTCAGGCACAGCAACTCAAAAATGCTGTTGCGAAACGAGTCAGTGGATCGAGGAGCCGAATGTCAGCAACTGCACTCATAAGTGGACAGAGCATGTGAAGAAGTTGATTGAGCAACAACAGCCAGCCGAACAAATTAGCCGACACTGGGCCGAACTGTTGAATAATTCATCTGGACACGAGTATGCTCCACGTTTTTTACAGTTTCTTAAGAATGACTGCATCTTGGTATTCCGCTCATTTATAGAGAGTGAAAGATGTGAAGGATTTTTAACTTTAGAACCACTGAACAGCGCTCTAGAACTAGAAAACTAATGAAACTCTACAATAACGGTGAGTTTCTGTGGACGCCATTCTTTAGATGCCTTGCAAAGACATGCTTCCCGTCTCTGCAAAATTTTATACAGTAGGGATTCAATTAAAAAACGAATAGTGTTTGATCAACAGTATTTTGTCGATTTCCTTACATTACTACAAATTATTTCAGACTCTTCGGTGGAGATCTAACGCATAATATTGACATTGGCGAAAAACTCTTGCTATTGGCTCGAGATCAATACGCACAAATTGATAATCGCTTTGAAAAAAGCAAGAAAGCTACTGATTTTGCAGAGGTATATTGTTTGGCGATCACTAACTGGAGGTATACAGCTCGAAGAAGAAAGGCTAGCCTGCATCCGGCTTGTAGATACATCGCAGTAAAATTCATAAAATCTGATTCTTATGCCGAAAACTCAAGCAGTCTTTATTCTGTTGATAATTCATCTTTTCTTCGCATTATACGTAATTTCAGAGGCTTAGCATCTTTAGTTTGACGGTTTTTGATAGAAATCGTTTTGCAGAAATATGGTGAAGCAGGCGATAAATTGCTGAGTGACGATACAGCTTCAGTTTGGCAAACTTTATCAAATGAAACTCGAGTAACGAAGGCATCCAGGTTGATGTCCGTGCTGCAGCAGGTTGCCGTGCTGATGGCCGATAGTATGACGGAAAAACACAAAAATATTACTTATACAAACTGGGGTACCTATTCCATTTTCTAAAGTAACTTCAGTTACAAATTTTTCAAAATTGTTCCTAATCAAAGCTATGGGCTCAGTTTCGCATCCAACCTTCTACGATTCGTCATTCGTTTTGATGGCAAATGGGTACTGGCGTATCAAAGAAAGTCGAACCTCCCATCGGTTTTGCTCATAACATACAATCGCATGAGGCCATGGCAACCTTGCCAGAATTGGTTACTGTTAACTTGGCACTTACTGCCACTAAAATACTTGCGAGTGCCTCAGAGTTTCATAGAGAGCGAATACCGAGCGGTTTTTTAATTTTTATGCGTTTTGTGCTGTGTAACAACAGTACAAAACGTATATTGTCACGGGGTTGTCTGTGTGTATGTGTTTGCGTGTGTGTGTGTCCGCAGCAACTTGTCCGCAACTTTCAACTC